GGATGGAATTCGGAGGAGGCCTAATCTGTGGGATCTAATCCGTCTGTTGGAGGTAATTGGCAGCAGGCAGTCTCTCAAGTACCCAGGACAGGACTGCATAGTTTGAGGTCCTGGTGGCGGAGGAAGAAGAGATGCTGAGAATGTCTGAGTTTTATACCCTCTCTGGGCTTTTGAATTTTAGCTGGCATTCTGATAGGTTGTCAGTCTCCCATGAAGCCATGTAGGCTGTCTTGAGTCCCAGGCTTCGTTGAGCCTTTCTAGATGATGTAATCTTCCCAGGTGCCATGTGATGAGATGGGTAGAGGGCTTTGGGCAATTCTTACTATGGCTCTGCCTGAAGGAGGTAGATCTTTGTTATGTTAGTTATGTTATGTAGACTGGCTCAAGCCTTAATGGCCCATTGACAAAGATGTATGTGTGTGTGGGGAGTTTCTGCCTCCCTTTTAAGGGAAATATTCTGCCCTTTTAATATTTCTTAAAATATCTCATTTTTCTAGGAGAGGCGTGGGTGCTGACTTCCTACAACCACCTCCCCTTTTTCCCCCTCCAAAACATGTGAGTGGGATATACATGTTCTTGACAAAAGGTTAAAAATTGATCAGATGAGGGAGGCTTGATGGGTGCTTTTAATTTTTCTAATGCAAATGGGAAGGCACAGATAAAGGCAGTAGAAGAAGCATTCCTTCAGTGGCTCCCAAAAGGAGAGCTTCCAACCATGAAGGTCTAGCAGCCAGGGCAAAAGTTCTGGAAAGAAATTTGCAGTATCCAATTTTCTATGCCAATTAATTTCAGATGTCAGATATCACTTTCTGTGAGCTTCCAATCAGTTCCAAGCAAGCACAACTCCCAAAATTCTTCAAAGCCATGGTTTTGCTTTAAATTACAGGCTGCCCATTTCCAAGGATGGTTTACTAAACTTGCCCTAACTCTTACTTTAGTGCATCCAGGATTTGTGAGTCCAAATTCAGGTTAGCTAGTGTGCAATCCAGGCTATTTAATATTTTTTTTAAAATGACACACAATGAGTCTTGGGACTCCTACTAATGAGACCACCAGTGCAACATATCCTGCTTTATTGTGCAACTGGGCAGAATCATTTGTGAGTCACAGTCAGGGCTTGGGTTTTGGAGATCTCTTTTCTGCTGTCTCCTCAAGTGAGGGAATTGTCTGAGGGGAATGTCCCCTCCCCCATGGGATTAGCATGGGGTGACTGCTTGGGCCTTAGTGCCACAAAGCAAAAAGGAGAAGCTTTGTGAGGAAGTAGGTGATTAGATAGTTTCAATCTAATTCTGAATGGGGTGTCCCTTTGTGTGTGCGTGTGTATGCAGCTACTTTTACAATACAAGCATGCTGGACAAATTTTCCTACCACTAGACAGAAATCCAAGGTGTTCAGAACTTGCTGTGCCAACCACTCCCAAATACAATATCTACATTAATCCATTTAACTGATCGGTTATAATTATGAATGAAGAAAACTGCTTCCCCCCGGAAGGGCATCCAGAGTTGGAAATAGGCCTGTTTCTGGACTTCTGGAACCTCCGGTAGGCCTGTTTCCCCAATCCTCGAGCATCTGTGGGGGCCCTGCACTTACCTGCCTCGATGAACGGGCTGCGTGGAGACTCCTGGTAGGGGTGCGGTGGGCAGGGCCAGCCAGGGGTGGCATTTGGGGGTTTGACGAACTGAGTAGAATCCTAGCTAGAGAATCACCTGAACCCATGTGAACCCCCAGCAGCCCACCCCTGAATGTGGTGGGAGAAAATTTGTGGGAATTATGGGCTCTATTGCAAATTATCAGTGTTGAAAGAAAGACAGATGGCTGTATCTAATCAATATGTCTAATGAGAGTCAGTTTAGTGCAGTGGTTAAGGTACAGGCTAGAAACAGGAGCTTGTGAATTCTAGTCCCACTTTAGGCATGAAAGCCAACTGGGTGATGTTGGACAAATCAGTAGGAGATGGTGAGTTCTAATCCTGCTTTAGGCATGAAATGGGCTGGGTGGCCTTGGGCCAATCACTCCCTCTTAATCCAACTCTTTCAGAGTTGTTGTGTGAAAAACAGGAGTAAAGAGTATTGTGTGTATTTTGCTGCCTTGCTATTTATAAAAAAAAATAAAGGCAGGAAATAAATATAAACTCATACTTTTGCCTGCTTTCTTATCTGAAAGTAACAACTGGATATATGGCAGAAATATAAAAGTAAGTTGAAAGCCAGGTGAATGAGATGTGTCTGTAACAAAGTACAACAGCCAGAATGAGTGAATGGATTCTGAATGAACTTAGACTAAATCAAAAGGAGTACACCATGTGGTTTGGTGATGATAAAAAAGAGCATGAATTATGTAATTGGAAAAATAATTTTTTGAAGATGAAAGCGGACTGAGACCAACATGGTGGAATTAAAATTTATCTTATTCTGAAAACATTACATCTGTTTAGAAAATTTGTCTGAAAATCCATTTTGATTTTTCACTAGTTGATTAACATAGTTGTTCTCTTAGAATGAAAATATAGAAGAGAGAAAAATAGATTTTAATTATTTATTTCCCCTTTCCTTTTCTAGCTTTAAAGGTTGTTTTTTTTTACTATATCTTATGTCTTTTCTGCTTTTTTGATTGTTGCTTTTCCAAAAAAGCGTGATATGCAATGTAGGTTCAGCCCACAAAGTTTCAGAGAAAACAACACTATCAGGCTGATCATAGCTAAGTTTCATCCGACATCGAACGGTTTCTTATCTCTCTAAGGAGATGTATAAATCAATTAAG